ATGGTACATTTACTCATTTATTCAATGACAGTCATGTCAACATCTTCTGGAACATCATCGTAATAATCCAAACCCTTATTTTCAGGGAGGTCTTATTTTCGGGGGGATGCCTTATATTTCAGTGAGAGGCAAACTGTAAGTAGGCCTTATTTGGGGGGGGATGTCTTACTTTTGGGGAAACAGGGTAGCTAGGCCTATCCTGCTTCTTGATGAGTTTGAACCACCAACCTTTGGCGCCAACTGGGTGGAAGAATGATAAGTTGCATTTAATGACTTATTTATGGTGCAGTCATGATCGTGAAGCGCCTCTATAATTAGACAAAAAGCTACGGGTTCTCTTTGTCCTGCCCCCTCCACATTTTTTTTATTACGTATGGGTGGACCTTTATGGAGCAACTTCGCTTTCCCCTCAGCCATCCAGACCCGTATGGTTTCCCGTCAATGGCTGCGACCCCCACGTGGTAGCCTCCCTCCTCGCACTTCTGTGTTTCCCTTTCCATTCCTCCTCCTTCCTGAGCCCATCTGGCCTTCTGGAATTTGTCCTTAGGCAAATGCTGCCCTTGGGAACGTGTGGGGCTAATTTTTCTGAGGACCTGTTTACCTCCCCAGTGCTATTGTTCGCAGTCTATTGTTTGACTCGCAGTTCAGTTCCAGGCCTGAAGGGGGTCTAAGCGCCTTAGTCTCAGGGGTTCCACCAGTCTCTATCTGACAAGCAAGACTGATATTTTTTATGCTTTTGAATTTTATTCTACTTGTTTCTGCTCCTCTATCCGGAAGCTTCCAATGGAGTGAATAAAGTAGGATTCTGCTCCTCTATCCAGAAGCTTCCAATGGAGTGAATAAAGTAGGAACAGCTAGCAGAACAAAGCGCATCTAACAGCAGGCAGCTGGGCACTGTCTTTCATTTCTGGTTTCAGTGTGCTGAAGGCTGATGTTTGGTCCAATAGCTCTCTGGGTTAATTTTTTCCCCTTGAATCTTTGATTTTCTTCACTCTTATTTGTTCCAGATGGATAGCGACCAATATTTTCATTTTTGAAAGAGAAAAAATATTCAGATGGGGCAAAGGAAATAACTTAGAATCAATATTTCAGGACATTTAAGGCCACTTTGCTAGAGTTACAGGCAGATAATATGCTAATTTCAATTCACAGTTGGAGTTAACGCCATGGTTAGGCTCTGAGACAGTGAGGCAATGCAGAAAATATACTTTTGTATTTTCTTGCATAATCAATAACTATTATAACACACCTACAGCAAGCATTGAACAAATACTGGGGTGATGGGGGAAGCATTCAAGAAAATTTATCACGCCAAACCATTCTGTGAGTGCCCACTCTGGTTCCTTACATCTCAATCCACAGGTTCAGGTACGAACCCTGGGAAATGAGTTGGGCCATTCCGTTTTCTGGTGTCAGCCTTTTGAGTTCAATGGGAGTTCATGCCCCCCGAAAGTGTATCAAAAGAACAGGATCTGAGCGATAGTAGCTATTCAAAGGAAATGACCTAAATGCTTGTACTTAAACCTGTCAGACGTGTTTCGATGATTTCATAAACATGGATATGTCATTTTCATGCGTATTATACATACGGCTCATTTCAAATTTAATGTCATAAAATCATTTTAGACACCTGGGGGCCTGGGTTAATTCTGCTGCCGTGGCTGTTCTAGTGTTAAGGGAATGCCCAGAAAGCTGCAATTAAACTCTGCTATCATTTCTCGGAAGATTATGACATAGTTGTATTTCACCAGCACCTAGGCCTTCTGCCAAAAGGAAAACCGACTGAGAAAGTAATCTTGGTTGTTCTGGAAGGTAAGTGTGTTCCTATTTTGTTTGTGTTGCCTTGTTTACCAGTCTTGTTACAGGCAACAAAATCTGCATTTCACCCTGAAGGCCAAGTGAAATATACCTTCGTCCTAGTTCACAAGTTCTAGTCACCAGAAAAATGTTCTAGTAGGCTAAATATCTATTATCAGCCTTATGACTCCAGGGCACTAAATAA